CTGCTCAGTGACCGCCCGTGTCCCTCTCTGCTTTTTGCTTATTTTCCAGCCACCTAAGTCCAATCTGAATGCCCAAGTCGTTGATGATTGTTTGCCTGTTTCCAAAGATTGGTAGATAGTTGCGTTTCTAAAAATATCATTTTTCTTTAAATCTGGTTTGCATGGAAAACGTTAGGAGAGCTCATATGAAGGGCAATAGCAACCCCGAATCTTGAAACTCGCTCTATCATTCCACTGAAATTCTACCACGTGGAATAATGCTTGAAGGGTCAGAATTCTGGAACTGCCCAATAACCAGTCGTTATCGAGGGTTAGTTTGTGAAGGTGGGAACAGACTGGTTCTGAAATTCTGTTTAATGACAGTCAATTAAGATTTCTGAGTCTGGCTTGAGGTCCTTTTCTTGCATCACAGCCCAGTCGTCCTTGGCAAGAGAGTCTGTATACCGGCCACAGCTCACAGAAACATTGTTTGAAAAAATGTATTTAAAGAACATTGTTTGTGAGATGAGTCTCAATACATAGGACAGACTTTCCTAAGGTGAGATGTGTTACTTACCCAGAGCTGTGAAAGGCTTTACGAATGGAAACTAGAGACTGAATTTTCCAGAATTTTAAGAAGTCTCCCCAACCAATGGCCCCCCACTTTCTTTTTTAAACCAAAGGTAAGAGCTAGTAGTTAAAATGACAGTTCTAAGCTTGACCTTTTGGGTTATGGCAGCTTCCTCTATGAAAAGATTTGGGAGTGGTTCAGTCACTGAAGGAAGGTTGGTGCCAGAGAGAGAAATGGCTTTGGTGCTTTCTGGTCTAGTGATGAGGGTATGCCAGGCCACAGCGAGTGCCCTGGGGCCCTCCGAGGAAGGGGAGAGGGTGGGTTCTGCTGCTGCCTGCTCAGGTGTGTCCTGTAATTTGGATTAGGTGGGCCCAGGGCAGCCTCTTATCACATCTCGCCTGGAAAGCCTGACTGCTGGGTACATTTATAGGGCTGCAGATAGGGCTTGGCCAATAGATTACCTCAAAATCAAGAAGAGGAAGTTATAAACATGTGACTAGACTTATTAATTTTTCCTGGCTGGGCATTTGGTGGAATTAATTTGTTAATGTTTAATAAATCATTATGGATCATAATTGTAATAGAATCTCAGGCTTTTGGTGTTACTTAGAATCTTGGAGGAGACCACGAAGGACACTCAGACGCGGCTGCACATGTGCAGAGATCTTGTAATGTAACCGTGGCTCTTCTCTGCACCATGTGCGAAATAAGCTGCTGCTGGGATTGGGGCGCCGCATGGGTTCCAACACAGTCTGCTGATTGCCTTGGTATTTGCCGTGCCTCTCTGGGCCTCAGTTTTTCCTCTGTTAAGTAAAGAGGGGGCTGGATTAGATGATTTCTAAAGTATTTTCCAGCTTTCAGATGCTATGACTCACTCTTCTCTTTTTCCTTTTAATTTCTTTTTCCTGTAAATCACCAAGACAGTTGTCCCCAACAGTTTAGATGTTATGAATCCATTAGGAATCCTGATGACAAAGGGTTGACCCTCTTTCTAGAAAAATGCCTGTACTAACAAAATTTTGCTTTTGGTTGCAGGAGGCTCAGGGACTGTGGATTCTAGTTTAAGAAACTTGTAGCAAGGAAATCAGGGGAACTGTCTCATTTAGTTGAAATTCTCAAATGCCAACCCCTCTGTTGTGTTCTGGCCACCTCTATGCAGCTTATTCCTCAGTCTAGGAGAAATTTTTCTACCTTGCCCCGGGAAAGAGCTGCTAACTTTCGGCGGGGGGTGCGGTCTTTGGTCATGGTGTTCCAGTTCTCTTCTCAGGTACCCTCCCCTAAGTCTGTCCCTTCTTTATGATAAACACCGTGGCCTGCTTTAGAATTCTGGGTCTCTTGAGATATAGCCTCTCAACTTACAGGTGGGGAAGCCTCAGGGAGAGGCTCAAGTGACATCGCAAGGTCTAGTTAGAGAAAAGTCTTTGCCAGAGTTCTGAGTTTTCAAACCAAGGTCTCATTTGTGTGGGCACAGTGGCTCACACCTGTAATCGCAGCACTTTGGGAGGCTGAGGTGGGAGGATCACTTGAGACCAAGAGTTCCAGACCAGGCTGGGCAACATAGCGAGACCCTGTTTCTAAAATATATATCTGGGTGTGGTGGCACATGTCTGTAGTTCCAGCTACTCAAGAGGCTGAAGCAGGAGAATCGCATAAACCCAGGAGTTCCAGGCTGCCGCAAGCTGTGATAGCACCACTGCACTCCTGCCTGGATGACAGAGCAAGACCCTGTCTCTAAAGAAAAAAAAATTGAATTCACCCCCTTTAAATCAATAAATGCCCAACTGAGGTTGTTGGATGGAGAATTTAAGAAATCCCACCTCCTCCTCCCTAGGACCTGGCCCTGTTTCCCATCTCATGGCCACCTGCAGGGTGACTGGAGTTTCCAGAATGTGTACTTCTTGTGAAGGTTCTGATTGATATTTCCCTTTCTAGACCAGCATGGCTCTACCATATTTTGGGACGTTATGTCTTGTTATTGCTGATTGTTTCAAACTCGTTTGCCCAAAGAGGTCACATTTTAATCAGAAGAATAAAAATGCTATATATATATTTTTTTTTTTGGGGTGGGCGTCTATCCAGCTGCCTCGGGGATTTCCAGCGCTGTTCTTGGAAATGTTGGCTCTAAGTCGATAGGTCATGCTAGTTCTCTCTCTCTTTCTCTGTGCTGTTGGGGAAGCTGTCTACTTGGGTAAGAATGTTCTTCCAAAGGATGTCTTTGGGTGCCCTGGGATGGTTAGGTCCCTAGAGTGGGACATCTTCTGGAAGAGGAACCCAGTGAACTTTGCCCTGTTCTGTAGCTGCTGTTTATTCCCTCACGCTTGTCTCTGTCTTTCAGTTGGTCATAGGAGTTGCCCAGGAAGTTTGGATAATAATAATGACATCTGGCGTGTAAGGTCCAGGCCCTGTCTCAGTTGCTTTCTGTATACCATCTGAGTTCTCCCTACACCCAGTACTGGTAGTTTTTCCTGAGTTTCATCTGGGACTGGGTAGCTGATGCCCTGAGATTAAATGCTGATCCAGGGTCTCCCAGCTGAGCCGTGGCAGGACTTGAATGAGATTGTGGTTCTGTCTCATTCTTAAACTCGTGCTCTTATCACTGTGAAGGAACAGCTGTTTAGACGGGCTAGCCTGAGGGCCTCCTCTTTCTCAGATGGCACAGACGCTGTATTCTATCAGGGAATATGGGGCCAGCTGGGCATCCAGTAACCCAGTTGGTTCTTAGGCTAATGGGCTGCTCAGTGAAGGAACCCGGTGCTGTAAAAGTGATTTCCCCTTCCCTTCCAGTCTTGTGCTAAAACTGGAGCTGTTCACTGTGGCTGTATCTGTCTGAAAGGAAAGGGCCGGTGAAAGCTGGAAGGAGCACAGCCAGCACAGTGGGAGGGGCCCGCAGGGGGCTGCTGGTGGCTTCAGGTGGCTGCAGGTTTCCCACGGAGCTTTCAGTTTGCATTCAGGGCTGTGAGGTCACGGAGGCCAGCATTGCCTTCTCATGGCAGGTGTCCCGGAGTCCCTGAATCTGTGGGTTTCCCCCAAGCCAGCACCTTTGCTGCAAACCTCTGTGTTTCCTGTTAGCAGTTTTTGGGTTGCTGTGATGAATGAGACAATATCCGTAATATCGCAGCATATGTTTCTGTCTTTCCAAGGATGTGTGACCGAAATGGTGGTCGGCGGCTTCGACAGTGGCTGATCGAGCAGATTGACAGTAGCATGTATCCAGGACTGATTTGGGAGAATGACGAGAAGAGCATGTTCCGGATCCCTTGGAAACACGCTGGCAAGCAAGATTATAATCAGGAAGTGGATGCCTCCATTTTCAAGGTAAAGACCCCAGCTCGCTTCCTCTCTGTGGGCACAGTGTCTCCTTTCCCTCATGGACTGGTGGAGATGTTGAGTGACGTCTTTCTCATTTACTTAAAAAGTAATCCAGTTTTTTAAAAAGCAAACATTGGTTCAGGAGTGCAGAATGTGTCTCAAAAATGTACATGAACTGATTTCACGTCTCTTGAGTGACAGAGTCACTTTTATAGTCACTTGTATTCTGATGAGGGGATCGAAGCCTCTTTTCTTCCCTTTTCTGCCGTTTCCTTTTCCTGATGAGCCAAGTGGGAGAAAAGACTTCTTGGAGACCCTCACACTAAGACCTTTTCCCGCGGGCTTCCGTTAGAGGCGATGCATATACCAGGGAAGGTTTCAGTCCTTGTTCTTTCAAAGCTGATACTTCTGCCTGGCATTGTAGGGCCAGCTCAGGAGGGTGAGATGCCATCTGTCATTCCTTTGGGGGCTGGGTTGTGTAGGGGGTTGTGAACCTGCAGCAGATGTCTAAAAATGGTCTTACCTCCCTTGAGAGTAATGAGTTCCCCATGTGTGGAGAGATGTGATGGAGGGTTTGTTCTGTGCCAGGCCTGGCCCATGGCTTGTTTTCTGCTCACACGATCCTGTGTGGTAGATGCTGTTCCCACCCTCATTCTATAGAGGCGCTGAGAGGAGAAGTGACTTGTTGAGGTCTCACAGTTCTTGTATGATGGAGCCAGCATTCAAATGCAAGATGGCCCAACTGTGAACCCTTGGTCCTAACTCCAGAATAGCTGATCAACAGGGATTTCTTGCCGTTACACCTAGATTCAGACAGAGGAACTAGGAATTGGGGCAACCCAGCTCTGCAGACCAGCTGGGCTATTGAGTTCCTTGTGGGTCATCAGAGTGCTGTGTGGGCATCCCTAAGGCTCCAGATGTCCAGGTTTCACCTCTGGGAGATTCAGAGCCCTAGGTCAAGGTCAGCCTAGACTTCCACGTTTGCAAATGTGTACACTACACGTAGACTGAGTCATAGCCCAGGTTATAAGCCATTGCCATGTGGGCTTATTCTCTTGCATTTGGGGGCCAGGGATGGGGAGAGGAGAGTGGGTGTGAGAGAGGGGCAAAGGGGGCTGAGTTGTTGGGGGCCAGAATCAGACCTGAGACCACAAACAAGGTGTGGAGGGAGTCAAGGCTGTAGGACCCCATGACAGTGCTGGACTTCCAGCCACAGATGACTGTCCCCTGACACCAGAGAACAAAAATGACAAAAGATCACACCTTAACCCCAGAGTGGACCATAAATAGGTCAAAGGCGGCTTAAGATGCATTTTGGTCCTGCACATCTTTGCCTGACCGATGTTTGCAGCGGGGCTGTGCATTTCAGTAATTCTGTTAAATCTGCAATTTGAGGTTGCTGGTCTTCTTGAGAATCTGATGCCCATTACTGACCACTCCAAGGAATATGGGGACAAGGGAATGCTTTGCACTCACCTTCGAGGGGGTCCCTTGGTGCCCCCACATCTCCAGATTCTTTCTGATCAAGGACCCCAGGTCAGGGAGCCTCAGCACCAGTGAGTTTTGTGATACCACTGCCTGCTTCCTCACCCTTAGTGCTGTTGCGGATTTCTCTCTTGTTTGATTGCAGATTTTTTTTTTTTTTTTTTTTTTTGCCTTTGGCATCATGGTGACCTTCTCTTGGGAAGGACTGCAGATTTAAACAGTATCAGAGTCCCATCCAGTCGATTGGGAACTCTGCATTATAGATAACCCCAAAAGCCGGAATTTCTCTGCCTTGCCACTGTTGATGCCTGGGTCTGGGCAATTCTTTGTTGTAAGGGTTCCCTAGGCCTTGTGGGATGTTTAGTGGCATCCCTGGCCTCTACCCACCAGGTGCCAGTAGCATCCCCTGCCCTACTGTCACAATAAAAAATGTCTTGTACATTGCCAAATGTCTCCTGAGGGCCAGAGTCTTCCCCTCCCCATTGAGAACCCTGATAAGAGCTGGCCACTGCCAGGATCAACAGACTTAACCAGAGGTGTTGGGTGTTGAGGGCACAGTTGCAGGTTGGACATCAGTAAAACATCTTTAAGACATGGCACAGGGTGCTGGACTAGGCTGCGTAGCCCTGACATGTGGCTTGCTGACAGAGACTAAGCTTCTCCCTTCACCCCATTCCCTGCTTCAACTTGTGCTCGGGGGGTAATGAAATAAAGCCCCAGATTTATACATCTTATGCAATGTTCTTCATGGCCGTTTCAACAGTGTTGAGAAAAATGTGCAAGATTCCCAATGTTTCCGTTGGTTACGCAGTCGCCTGATGTGGCAATCTGAAATGAGTCTACAATCTCAGCAGGAATGGGGCCAGGAGGGAGACGCGGGTGCCCACTGGAGCAGGGAGGCCTTCGGGAGGGCCACCAGTGCCACTGGAGACATGACACCAACAAGAGCCCATCAGGTGCTTCCCTGAGCTATGCTTGTTCCCATCCGTCCTCTGAGAGGCCTGTCTCTGTGACATTGGCCGGATAGGTCTTTGGCTGTTGGATGAAGTCAACCTCGGTCAGATAGAGCCATCTTAGGGATTTTTCGGTTATGTAGACTCTTGTTTCTTTCAACTGTTCAAAGAAAACCTTTCAACAATTTAGGAGTTAAGAAAGAAATTTATGAGTTTGGTTTCTTCCATAACAAGTGAGTGGTAAAAGAGGCCACTTATACCAGTGGCCCTGGGATTCGGATTTAGCTACCCAAGATCCCTCATTGTCTGCAGGTGTCATCCTGAGGCCGCCCTCATGGTATAGATCACAGACGAGAAATTGAAAAAACATTGAGCTCATTTTGTACCAGCCCTGAGTACACTGATGAGGCCCTGATATCAGCTCATTTAGTTTTTAAAAAGTACTTCACCTCCTTGACATGACGAGAAGGGGGAAGATCTAGTTAAGTGAAGGTTATGATTCATGGTTGTATCAGGCATCGTAACAGGCCTGAATGAGTTAAAACTCAGTAGCACAGTTTTTTCCAATTCAGCAGGCCTTGAAGGGAAAAATAACATTTAATTAAAAAAATACAACATGAAACAATCATATTAAATTAGGAAGACCTCCTGGTCTGAGTTCAATGCTGTCAGCCTGAGTTGTGCGTCAACAGGAGGAAGAAGTTATGGCGGAGGCTGAATGAGCCATAGTGACTGTTGCTGGCTGCAGGGAGCCTTGAAATCACTCTCATGTCTAGTTTTTGCTCTAGCTCAAGAAGGATCTTGAGAGATCATCAAGCTAAGTTGACCTTTTAATGCTGGCTAGAGAGGCTGGGAGAGGGCCAGGTGCCTGCTGTGTCACTTAGTTCAGGGCAGGCTGCAAGCCACATACCCGATGGTGGTCCTGGATGCCTCCTGGCCATGGGCGCTGCTGCGATGGATGATGTGGCCTGGCCTTGCTCTTGGGGTGAGTGTGAGCTTGGCATGAACGAGTGAATATGGCAGTGCCTTACAGGCACCGCAGCTGTGTATGTGTACCAGCTGATCACAATGTTGCCATGAAATCTGTGCATTTCAAGGCCCATTTGGGATGTGGGTTAACTCAGTGATTCTCAGATGGGGGAGGTATCATGATTTACCCTCCAGGGAACACTTGGCCGTGTTTGGAGACATTTTTGGTTGTCACAGCTAGGAGAGGGGTGCTGTTGGCATCTGGTGGGTCAAGGCTAGGGATGCCACTGAATATTCTACAATCCACAGGACTACCCCACCACAAAGAAGGGTCCCAGCTGACATGTCAGGCTTGCCACGGTGGGGAAACCCTGATTTAAGGTAATAAAAATTGGAAACTACAGTTCATTTAGTACGTGGTTTGCTCTTTTATTTCTTTAAAAATAAACAACAGCAACAAAACCCAAAGTAATGCCTGGTCAGTGAAGCAGTTAATGAAGGAGAACATTAAAGACCGTGTACTTTAAGAAATATTTTTAGCGGGGAGTTTTACATCAATGTCACATAAGGAAACTACCACTTATGCTCACTAATAGGAATGTTCTTCCAGTTTCTTTACCCTAGGTAGAGGTGCAACATTTTGCATCAACAGAGTAGACAGCATTGGCCTTGAGCAGTAAGCATTCTTGTCTTTTTTGAGAGGAAAAACAGTCTGGGCTATTTTAAAGGAGCTGTGACTCATGGGGGCATGATGGAGTTTCTGGAAGTGTGGTCTCTTGGGTAGCTAAATCCGAATCCCTGGGATACTGGCTAAAGACAGCTACCTGGGCTGGGTGTGGTGGCTCACGCCTGTAATCCCAGCACTCTGGGAGATCAAGAGATCAAGACCATCCTGGCCAACATGGTGAAACCTCGTCTCTACTAAAAATACAAAAATTAGCTGGGCATGGTGGTGCGCACCTGTAGTCCCAGCTACTTGGGAGGCTGAGGCAGGAGAATTCGCTTGAACCTGGGAGGTGGAGGTTGCAGTGAGCTGAGGTTGCGCCACTGCATTGCAGACTGGTGACAGAGTGAGACTCCGTCTCAATAAATAATAAATAAATAAATAAAAATAAATAAAAAAAGATAGCCACCTAGACCCAACCCCACTTCCCCAGTGAGAATCTTGAGGGGCAAGGCCCAGGAATCTGCATTTTTCACAAGCTTCCCAGGACCTGAGAACACTTGCAGTGGTGGAGAAACTGTTGGGTTGGAAGTGGGTACAGCTGGCATTTAATCTCAGACTGGGTGACCGTGCGAAAGTTACTTACCTCTTGGAATTGCATTTTCCTGAATGGGATTGGGAATTCCCTACAGATCTCCTATCATGTTAGGCTGGAGGACACTGTCTGATTTTTCCTGGAACCGAAGATAATTCTCATCTGACTGTGGTTTCCTCCTAGTTGGTGTGTCTGTATTCCCGTTTTGCAATCTTAAAATCTGTCCATTCACCTGTCCATTCACCATTCTACATTATGACTTTAAGATATCCGCTTTGAATTTCTGGTCCTAGTTCAGATCCTAAGGCTTGGAGAAGTCAGAAAACAGATCTGTTAAAAAAACACACACAATGAAGGGAAAATACTTCATTACATTTTGAACAGCACCTGGGGGGAAAAGTCTAGAATAAATGCAAAAATGCAAAACAAAATTTCTATTAAAAGTAACAGGGCGATGGATGACCATTTTGACTTTTTGCAAATGTTCTCTTTTCATGCTAAATTTTAGGGGTTGATCCGAAAAAGCAACAAGTTGTTCTTTGTTTTGAACGCTCTGGTGAAACCATATGCAGCTTCCTCTTTGTGCTGTGTAAACCTCAGGTATCTCCAGCTCTTCAGCCAGGGAAGGGCTTGGCTAAAAGGCACACTCCAGGGTTGGAGGAGCCTTCAGCCTGGGTTTGACTTCTGACTCAGCTGTGTGAACCTGGAGGACCCCCTCCCTGGCTTGGGTCTTTTCACATCTGGTCTCCAGACATCTGATTGGAGTCGCCTTGGGTCCTGAAATTGAATGAGAGTTGATGGCCAACAAAGACTCGTGGGAAGGGAAGGATGTGTGGGGTCCTGGTCATGGTGACAGATATTTGTGATTGGAGTCGGCCGTGAATTTAATGTGCTTCTGTTTCTTTCTTCAGGCCTGGGCAGTTTTTAAAGGGAAGTTTAAAGAAGGGGACAAAGCTGAACCAGCCACTTGGAAGACGAGGTTACGCTGTGCTTTGAATAAGAGCCCAGATTTTGAGGAAGTGACGGACCGGTCCCAGCTGGACATTTCCGAGCCATACAAAGTTTACCGAATTGTTCCTGAGGAAGAGCAAAAATGTAACTATCCTTTATGGGTATGAAACCTTCCGGAAGCTGCCCTGGCCTGCAGCCTTCACCAAAGAGCTTGGGTCTGGGGTAGACACAGGGTCTGGGGCACATGGTTTCAGTTAAACAAAGTAGTTCTCTCCTTTGCATAAGCAGAGATTGAGATCTCTTTCCAGTGACCTTGGAGGGAAGGGCAGAGGAGACTGGGTGCAGCCCAGCCTGTGTCCCACTTGCTGCCAGACCACAGACGTGTGTAGGGCTCCCCTGGACAGGAATAAGCATCCTCCAGCAGTTTCTGATGAGGAATCCTTTCATTTTCCAGCAGCTTGCACAGGAGGCTGGGGGAAAATATGGTGGCCGCAGAAGGACTGGATCATGAGGGTTGGGAGTAAAGCTGTCAGATGAAGTCGTCAAAGATGGTGCCATGGGCTTCATTGTTGGAGATGGGATATGCCTCAATGTGTTATTAGATCCTGATCATTATTTGGGAACTCTGGGATGTGATCATTCCCGAGATTTCTTCCAGCTCTCAAATCCCAAGAAAACATTTGTGACAGATTAAAGCAGGACAGCAAAAACATGCTGCACCCTGGTCCTACGTCACTAAAATCAGTCCCAAAGTGCTGAGCTGGGATCTGGCCTCAGAATCCTTCTCAAAGCCCTGTGCTGTGCTGCTGCTGTGAACTGTAGCTGATTTATGAGATAAAACCTAATTACCAGCACTGGTTTACAACATGCTTTTAACACACTGATTTTCTGAGCCACTTAATGGGGCTTTTAGAATAACCCACTCTGACTTTCTCCTTTTAAGCTTCTGAGTAGTCCATGAATGCCTGTAAGAAATAGAAACCCCCAAAAGTTCTTGGGGCTGTGCAGAAGTTTGACGTTTTGACTCTTCCCACTGTGGGGGTGTTGACTTAGAATTTTTTTAAAAGTTAAAATTGTGACTCAAACAAATACATAGCGAGTCTGTGTCAGAGAGTTGTTTAATCGTTATGAGGGAGGCAGCATGATGGTAAAGACGGTGGACAGAGAACCCGAGGCGCTGGTGAATGTGGCCCATGAACAAGAAAGCTGAGCCAAACCTGATGCCCGACCCGGACAGTACAACTGCGGTTTGGGGCGTTTGTAGCCTAATCATCCATAGTTAACACCTAACTCTACTGAGCCTGAACCCTGATCAATACTAAATAGTAAGGCCAACAAACTGACCTTCCCTTAGAGAATCGGGTGCCTCCAGGAGGAAATCTCTACATAATAGTCCGGGGTGGCCCTGAAAGGCTAAGCAGTCATCTTTTTGCCTCATTTCCCAGTTTTGGGCAATTTTTTTTTTGTCACCAAAGAGTAAATTGTGATTTGAAGGAATAGAGAAGTTTATTTTGGCCCCCACTCCCACCCCCAAGATGAGTCAGGCTTGAACCGGCAGGCGACCCCGACTTGTTTATAGCATGGGGTGTGGCCAGCATCACCTGATAGTGATGTTAAAGAAGCAGCAGGAGGTTCTCAGGGGTGAAGCAACGTAGCATTTGCATAATTGCCTACAGGGGCCCACTCTCCTCTGAACCTCAGTGGTTTGCAGGCTACATGGTGGGCGCCCCACCTGCTCCCTACTTCCCCATCAGTAGCTTCTCAGTGAATTCTTCAATCTATCGAAATGGAATCCAAATTCAGCCAGGAGGAAACAGTGGGTAAATTCTGTGGGTCACTGGGAATAATGAATTTTTGTGTTTGTTGGTTGTGATATGTCTCACACTGATAAACTTCGTAAGGTAAGTTGTCGACTGAGGAAGCGGCATGAGAAGGGAAGGAGCAGAGGCTGGCCCAGCGTGCTCCTGTGGACGCTGTGCACCTTTAGGCGGTTTGTGATTACGACTGGCGCCCACTGGGCATCAGTGAGGGTGCTGCGGTGCGTGTGTGGGCATGGCTGTGTGCACTGATGCACATGTGTATATTTGGAAAGGCCATAAAAAGATTTCCTGCCAACTGGCAATACAAAAAAGACCCCAACCTGCCAACACATTTTGCCAGGAAATCTTTGAGTGTTTTCAAATGCCCTGGCTTATAAATGTAACCTTCTTAGGTTAGCGAATGCTTGCTGTAAAGTATATCTGATACAGATTCCTTTTGGACTTCAGAAAATAGAAGACAGAGACCAAAATGCTGTCTTTATCCTTTAAAAGTGTTAGCAGAAACAACCACCACCACCGCCACCAACTTCTCTCTTTTGACTTTGCTGATCAGATGACTGAAGCATGGGAAAAAAATTCTGCGTCTTTCCCAAACCAATGAAGACACTCACTAACTTAACGTTTCCTTAAACTCAGCATTTTCAGAGTGGATCATGGCTTCAGCGAAGGCTGTGATGCCTCCGTGCCATGTGTCATGGTGTTTGTCTGGTTTTCTATAGGCAAACTAGGCGTGGCAACTGCTGGCTGCGTGAATGAAGTCACAGAGATGGAGTGCGGTCGCTCTGAAATCGACGAGCTGATCAAGGAGGTAAGCAGAGGCAGCGTTTCAGGGGTCTGGCCCTGCCAGGGCGAGTCTCATGTCATCTGTCAGGGACGGGCACCGTTCTTGCTGGATGAAGGCAGCCAGAGCCTCGGGCTCTCTGAGGAAGTGGCATCTCCACCTGTGCAGAGCTGGAACGGGACTGGCTCGGTGCCCCCTCCCCAGGTTGGCCTCTGCCGACAGGTCAGTCCCTCCTTCATCCCTAAGGCTGGGCCTGAGCTGCCTGTTACGTGTTAGTGAAGTTCTTTCCAGCTCCAAACTGTTCAAACATTTTGAACATTTTGGACAGCAGTCTTTTAAATGGCATCGTGAATTCCCTTGCCTTCCTAGCAGGCTGCAGAGAACAAAATGCAAACTTTCCTTGCTGCCTGTGCTTGTCATGGTGGCGTGGTGTGTTGTACCAGCTCTCATGCCTATTTGATTGCTTCCTTTTTAATGTGCAGGTTTTATTCCTTAACGAATTAGAAAACTGGATAACCAAGCATGTTCAAATTGCACATAAACTCCTCATAGGCTACAAGGGAGAGGGTAATCGGGGCCTCCTTAGGCAAGAACACATGGCTTTTGTATGCCCGTTTCAGCTATTGGGATGCCCTTTTCTTCTGTCTTTGGCCTCTTAACTATGCTTTTTATGGGTATTACAAGCTGGACATTTGCATAACTAAACTTCACGCAGCCTTTCCAAAAGGTGGTGTGAGTACTGTCTAAATTCTTCTTCTTAATAACATAGCAATAATGGAATCCTTAAGAGTAGCTAGGCTGTCAGAGACTGAAGATAACAGAATGTCACCTACCCGAACGGCCTTGCTCTTCTGCAGAGGCAGCTGCCAAGTGTCTGGGTGGTCTTTGGCAGCCGACTGAGTGAACTCTTGGCTTCGTGGCCCTCCACCAATGTCCTGTTTTCTGTAGAAGGCTTTTCTGCTGACTCAGCCGAGAGAGTGAGATAATTGGATTGCTACACCGGGGTCACAAGAAAAGCAATTTCAAAACATTTCATAATTGGATTTATCAGCCTCCTTTAAGGAATGGGCCAGAGATTAAACATCTGCGTGTGGCTCATTGAGTGAGATTCTTGAAAGCATGGCAGCCTTTGGCCAGCATCACCGTTCATTGGTGTCTCAGAGCTTGCCTGTGTGTCCAGGGCTTTGGGGGCAGTTGGATAACTTGGAACGCTGGGTCTGCAACAGGCAGGTCCTGGAAAGGACCAAGAAACTTATTAGCGGCCCCCAGAGAGCCTAGTAATTTGGCCACATGGTTTGAATGCTAAGCCCGGTAGATTTAAGGCCTAGGGCCTTTCAGGTTGCAAAGTGAAGCTTGACTTTTGTGTCCTGAGATAAAGGTGACAATATGGTTTTAGTTGCACATGAACTGTTCATTTTTACAAACACTGGAGCCCCGGGTGGGAGATCAGTGACTGAGCTGCCCTCCTCTCCCTCCCCTGACTGTGCAGCCTTCTGTGGACGATTACATGGGGATGATCAAAAGGAGCCCTTCCCCGCCGGAGGCCTGTCGGAGTCAGCTCCTTCCAGACTGGTGGGCGCAGCAGCCCAGCACAGGTGAGGGTGGGTGGCCCAGAATTGTCACCAGGCATGGCCTGAAGGGGTTTACGGCATTCCCCCAGCCAGGGACGGAGTGGGGGTGGTTGTTGCTGTCATGATCCATGTGTCATTGAAGGTAGCTGAGCCCTGAGAGGTGAAGAACCATGGCCCTGGTTTCCCACCATGAGGGCAGAGCCCAGCTGTGCCTTTGGCCCTGCTCTCCGCTGCTTCTCAGGAGGGCACAAGCTGCTTTTTCCTTAAGTGATGTCCATGCCAGCTCTCCCCACGCTCCTCGGAAAGTCCAGCGGGGAGGGTCTAGTGAACTTGTGTAAGGCTAGAGGGAAGATGCAGCTCTTGGCCACACTGACGCCCCCTCCCTGGGCGCTCCCTTAGTCGGACAGTCTGTTAGGACATTAAGGACCCCTCAGAACCAAAGATAGCCCAGGGCATTTGGAGGAGAGGAGAACTCAGACCAGGAATAGGAAGTTTGCTCAGAGCCCTGGATTTGAATCCCACGCTGGGAAGTTGCAGATCTTGAGCCTTAGTTTATTCATCCATAAAACGGAGAAACCAGGACTTGCGCCATGGAGTCACAAGGGTTAAATGAGGCTTTCATCCTTTGATGCTCTTCTGATGAGCCACTCCGAGCCCCTAGCTGCTTGAAATGCCCCCGCCCCCCAGGCCCAGGCTTCTGCAGCCCGTGACTGTGGTTGCTTCCTCCCTCAGCGTCTTCCCCACAGCCTCACATCCCTTGTGGGAGTCTGGGAGGTGGCAGCTGGCCCTGGAGGCCTTGAAGGTTGCCAGGCCGTGGGTGTTGATTGAGAGGCCCCTGGAAAGGCGCCTCTGTCTGTGCTGCAGGAATACCTTCTGGAAAGCTAGCTTGCACCCCCAGGCTCTCCCCGAGAGAGAAGCCCTGGGTGGTGGGTATGCAGTCCAGTGGTATTCTGGGGGCAAGTGCTTGAGGTGGGAAGGAAATGTGGCCCCACAGTGTCACACTGACACATGATCAGAAATCCCACAGCATAGAGGAAGTCCCCCCGACTTGCCACTCTGGTGTTCTACATTTGTGAAACAATGGCTGTCTGCTCTGGTGGGGAAAAGCACTGAATTCAGCGGAAGCCTGTGCTCCCTGGGGCCTCTGGCCCGCCATGTGCAGCCTTTTAAGGGACTTGGAGAAGGAACGATTGGGGTGGCTCCCTGGGCACCACACCTGGGTGGCTCTGAGCTTGCTTCTCTGTTTCTCCCGCAGGCGTGTCGCTGGTGACGGGGTACACCGCCTACGATGCGCACCATTCAGGTACGGGGTGGTCCGGGCTGAGCGGGGCACGGGCAGTGTTTGAAGACAAAGCCCAGATGACCCAAGCAGGGTTGCGGGGTTCTGTGGATGAGCAGGACCTGGTGTGGAAGTCGAGGCCCCGATTTCTCCTCCTCACCATTTGGTCGGGAGCAGGCGAGTGGCCTCTTTTGAGCCTTTTCTTGGATTGAAACAGCAAGTAGACAGAGTGCTCTTTGAGGCTGTAACTGCAGGAGAGAGAGTGAGGGACAGGCCAGCATCCATGCCAGTGCTGCCCCTCTTTGGGGGCCGCAGGTGGAGTGATGGAGCCTCTCAGAGCCTTATCTCAGGCTCCCGTGCCTGCCACCTCTAGGTGAGTGCGGCTGTTCCTATTTCACGGGCTCAGGAGCCCTGGTCACGTAGCTTTGTGTGCTACAGAGTGGGGGCCTCCCCACAGCTGTCCCGTCCCCACACCCACCTGCAGTGGGCAGAGGTGGCCTTTGTGTGTAGTCTCAGCAGCTAAGGACCCTGGTTGCACTTCTGCCAGCTGCCCCTGGAACTGACACTCAGGCATGGTGACAGCATCTTCTGAACAGGGAAGCCGGGGCATCTTCTAGCATTGGCTGGTTCTGTGGGAGCCCAGCAGCTGGTCTCATCAGATGGGCCACAGACGTTAGGGCTGGGCCTCTGGGCAGAGGAGGAAATGGGGCCGGGATAGGAGCATGCTGGCCGAGGTCTGCATGGGACAGTTTTTTGGGTTGTGGAGGTTGGTTCTCACCCAGGCAAGAAAACTACCGAGATGACAATGCCCTGTCCATGAAGTCTGTTTCCCAGCAGCCCTTTGAGCTGGGGGTTGTTTTCAGTCCAGCTTCACAGATGAGGAGACTGAGACTGAGAGTTCAGGGTCTCATCCAGGTCACGCAGGCCTCTGACTAGAGCCTGTTCTTGAGGCCTCCTTGTGCCTGGCAGCTGCCACAGGAGCTCAGTTCTGGGAGGCCCTGGGTCATGGGGCTGACTCTGGGCTCACCAGCCACCAGGCTGTGACCTGAGAGTCTGCTGACCGATGCTTTCCGGGGGCTGTGGAGTAGCCAGGCACAGAACTGAGTTGTCTCAGCAAGATGCAGAGACACAATTTGGGGAGAGCATGTCCTTGAATTAGTCCAGCAGAGTCACAGCCACTGCCTCATGCACAGAGCATCCTAAACGTCCTTCTAGAAGCTGTGAGCTTTGTACCTCTGTCCAGCCCCACCCCCACCTCTGTGTAAATCCATGCCTCAGTTTCCTCACCTGGAAAATGGGTAATCATTAATAATCTACCTTTCAGGGTTAAGTGTGCTGGTAGGTCCCGTGCCCTGGACACAGCACCTGGGGGGTGCTGTGTAGACCGTAGGCTATGATTTATAACTTCAGGAGTCTTGTCTGCGTAGATAAGCATTTGTCCTCTTACCCAGTTTCTTTAACTGGTGCTTACCTGTGCCAAGCACAAATACAAGCTCCGATAATCCTCACAGCAGCCCAGTGAGGTGGATGCTGTTTTATCTACTTTGCTGATGAAAACCTGAGGCAGAGTGGGGAAGCGGCTTGCCCGAGGTCATCCAGCTGGGCAGCGGCTGCGCTGGGACCACACGTCAGGCAGGTGGGCTGCAGGGTCTGCGCTGTGGGCATCTTTGTTGCTGCCTCTGTGGTCAGGCCGTTCCCCAGCACGGCTGCTCTTGTGGGTTGCAAGGGCAGGGCTGGGTTGCAGTGGGGCCCTTAGTGTTGCAGAAGGCTCACCTGCCCCACCTGGGCAGCCCTTGGTGAGTGGCTTCTCACCTGTCAGGTGCAAGCCTAATAGCTGGAACCTTCTCTCAGCATAAGACGTTCTGTGGCGTGTGGTCACTAAGACACTCCTGCACAGGTGTCTCTGAAGCACTTAGCTGTTCTGTTCACATGACTGAGAGGTGCTGGTACCAAGATAAGGCCCCGGAAATGACAGGGCAAAGGGCCAAAGGGGTGACGGAGTTGCCTGAAGCGTTTCATTCCTTTGGAACAAAGTTCGAAAGTTGCTTCAGGGTGAAGGAAGCGGAGTGTGTGGAGTCAGCAGGCAGCGCAGAAGTTGCAGACTTGGCGTGGGGGGAAGATAGTGAGCAGGGAAGAGCGAGGCCAGTGGGGAAGATGGTGAGTGAGGAGGAGCGAGGCCAGTGGGGAAGATGTTGAGTGAGGAGGAGCGAGGCCAGCGGGGAGGATGGTGAGCAGGGAAGAGTGAGGCCAGCAGGGAGGATGGTGAGCAGGGAAGAGCGAGACCAGTGCTGCCATTTCCTTCTGGGTGACCCTCTCTAGGCTTCGGTTTCCTCAAGTGTCAAATCAATGAGGTGGACCAGAGCGCCTGCAGCTCTGGCTTCCTACCCTGCGTGATTCTAGAACCTGTGTAACTCCAGCATGGCTGGAAATGGAGCCGGTGAATGGTGGGTTGTCAAATAATAAGGCAGGGAGCAGAGCCCAGTGGGAGGGTCCAAGGAGTTCTGAGTGCCCAGCGGTGTCTGCAGGGACCACAGATGGCCTCAAGGCCTCCCCAGATGTGGTGCCTTGCACAACTCTAGGGGGTGCCATGGAGTCGGGCACCTCACAATTTGTGTGGCTCCACAAGGCAGCCTTGAGCTGGTCTGGGGTACTTAGAAGGAGCTCCGAACTCACTAAGCTCATTGCTAGCGTATGTAATTCTTTTGGTTTAAGGCGATTAAAATGCAGATACCTCCCTGCATTTACATGTTATCTGCATTCCTACCTTAGTTTAGTGTTTTCCAAACTTTGGTCACTTGAGGTCCACTGTCACAACTGGTTTTCACAGCCTGGACTGTTATTAACATCATGTTTTTCCTCAAGTCTGAATTTTTAAAGCTTATTTTAAGTGAGAACCCACTATCATTGCCTGTAAAGGAAGACCTGTGCCACCTGTAAGTAGGTGACACTGTCTGGCTAGAATTGACTAAGATTGTATTTGGCTTTCATTGAATTTGTCTTGACGTCCGACAATGCCCTGAATTTGGAGCCCTAAGTTCAGTGCCATTATTCAAAAGGGGAGGTTGACAGGTGTTAAGTGTTAGAGAGCTATCAGCACCAAACTGAGGCTTGCTTTTTGAGGTAATCGTAATCAGAGGTTGGGGGAGTATTGAAGGTGGAATAATCTTGTGATTACATGTATCACCCCTCCCCCATTATTCTGTGTGTGCCACATTTGGGGAACCCCTGCTTTAGTTGGAGTGTTTTTCAGACTCTTTCCTGAGAACAGATTTGGATGAGGGTTTTGCAGAGATTCTTAATCTGAAATCCAGGAAATACCAAGGGCACTGTGAATTTGTTGAGAAAAAGATTATGTCTTTATTTTCTTTAACTTCAGGTTTAAATTGAGCATTTCCTTTTGTTATGAATGTAGAAAGCAGACCACAGTGTCCTTAGCAGTGCCTCTGAGACAGAGTATCATCATAAGAAATGACAATTGTCGAAACATCGTTTGCCGTCAGCCTGACTTGTAAATTACAACAGTTACCAGACCTTCTCTAGACGTTGTATTTAAAGAGTCAATGAAGAAGAACAGAGAACACTGTTGTAGTTCATAGTTTCTGTCATTGGTTTCCTTAGTCATTCTGTATATTTGTTCATGCGTATAAAAACATTACTTCTACAAGCAGTACACGGATTTTCCCAGAATTATCAAAGTGGTTCAAGAAACACAAAGAGTTACCCATGTGGGTTTGAGACAGACTGTGCACTTGGGCAGGAGGGACCCTGTGTGTCTCCCCGCAGCACCCTCATCGTGTCCCTCTCGTCCACAGCGTTCTCCCAGATGGTGATCAGCTTCTACTATGGGGGCAAGCTGGTGGGCCAGGCCACCACCACCTGCCCCGAGGGCTGCCGCCTGTCCCTGAGCCAGCCTGGGCTACCTGGCACCAAGCTGTATGGGCCCGAGGGCCTGGAGCTGGTGCGCTTCCCACCGGCCGACGCCATCCCCAGCGAGCGACAGAGGCAGGTGACGCGGAAGCTGTTCGGGCACCTGGAGCGCGGGGTGCTGCTGCACAGCAGCCGGCAGGGCGTGTTCGTCAAGCGGCTGTGCCAGGGCCGCGTGTTCTGCAGCGGCAACGCCGTGGTGTGCAAGGGCAGGCCCAACAAGCTGGAGCGCGACGAGGTGGTCCAGGTCTTCGACACCAGCCAGTTCTTCCGAGGTCTGTACCGTCGTCACCTTGCTGCCCCCATGTCTTAGAGATCACGCCTCCTATCCGTGTGCCATTTGCAGCTCAGGGTGGCCCTGTGGTCTCACAGAGGGATGTGGAGGAGCGAGGGGCATGGTGTGGCAAGGAGGGGCTTCTTTGAATGGCACTGTGTCCTCTCCCACTGAGCGATCCTGGGGTGCGTCTCTGTGCTTCAACTTCCCCATGTGTACAGTGGGGGTGCAGAATCAGTACCCTCCTCAGGTGATTGTCGGGAGGGTAAAGGAACTTAACCTCATGTTCTTTGGAGTATGTTCTGTGGACAGACCCTGAGCGCTGGCTAGAGATACAGAGTCTGAGGCCCTGCTCCAACCACAGGATCCGAAACAGTGTCTTAGTAAGGTCTCTGGAGACCTGTGTGCAGGTCATGAGATACGCTGACTTTCCGCACACTAAGTGCTCAGGATGGCAGCTGCATGCACTAAGTGCTGCCCATCAGCTTTCATTGTTCTATGAGGAGGATGTGTAGGATCCCAGCCTGGGTGTCTTCTGGAGGGCTAGGATGGCGGCTCCCTTCTCCACGTCCCCATGCTCTCTGCTCCTCTCCCTGCAGCAGCCCGAGCTAGTGTCAGGTCTCAGCTGCCACTGGCCTGAGAACTCCCAGAGGAGGGGCCTGGAAGGGCAGGTGTGGCGGCGTGTGTGGGCTCAGGTGCATAAGCCCTGAGGAATCCCTCTAATGAGGGGGTGTGAGGCCGGGGTTATCACCCCTGAGCAGGCAGCACGGCACGGCATGGAGGGGCGTCCTGCCACGTAGATTCCTGGGGCTGCCTCACATCCTCTGACTCCATGGGTCTGAGGCAGGGCCCAAGATTCTGCATTTCTACTGAACTCCCAGGGAAGGCAACTGCTGCTGGTCCACTGGCCCCACTTTGAGACCCTTTCACTTGGCTGTCGGAGAATCGGGTGAGGGCCGCAGCCCTCCCTGGTGTCATCAGGTGGTGGTTGCAAACTCAGTTGCCTCCAGGGGCCAGGCAGGTAAGAGCAATGCACGAATTCTCGAGAGATAAGAGGGAGCATTGAGCAGCTGTGCCCATGGAGAGGCGTTCAACTCAGGCCTTAAAATCCCGGCAACAACCTGGAATGGCCAAACCAACAGCTCCTTGCTTGGAATTTGGCCCAAGGGCCACCAGTTTGAGATCCCATGGTGCCCTGGCCTACCTGCTGCAGCACCCCTGCTAAGCCCCGAATCTCCTGATCCCCCAGCCCCTGCTAAGCCCTGGGCCTCCTGATCCCCCAGCCCTGCTGCTGCGGGAGTTGGAGGTCATCTCGGCCTTGCTTGCCAACACCCTCCGCCTGTGTCATTCCAGAGCTGCAGCAGTTTTATAACAGCCAGGGCCGGCTTCCCGACGGCAGGGTGGTGCTGTGCTTTGGGGAAGAGTTTCCGGATATGGCCCCCTTGCGCTCCAAACTCATTCTCGTGCAGGTAAGTATGGGCAGGTTTTGTTTTTTTTTCAAGATGGAGTCTTGCTCTGTTGCCCAAGCTGGAGTGCAATGGCATGACCTTGGCTCACTGCAACCTCCACCTCCCGGGTTCAAGCGATTCTCCTGCCTCAGCCTCCCGAGTTGCTGGAACTACAGGCCCGTGCCACCATGCTCAGCTAATTTTTTGTATTTTTAGTTGAGATGGGGTTTCACCAAGTTGGCCGGGATGGTCTCGACCTCGTGATCCGCCTGCCTCGGCCTCCCAAAGTGCTGGGATTACAGGCGTGAGCCACCGCTTCCCGGCCTTATGGGCACCTTTGAGCCCTGCATTCAGGTCTCCTGGCCCCCTCATGTAAGGATCAAGTTTTGGGCTGGAGAAGAGGTCACAAGGACGGAATTTCCACCTGTGTAGGAGGCAGGCCTGGGCAAGACCTTCAATATGGGGGAAACAGATTCTTGCCATTTCCGAGCCATCTTCTGGTGTCTGGGAGGCGCATAATCTGTGTGTGTGTGTGTTTTCTGCTTTTCTTTTTTGTTTTTTAAATCTAAGCCTCTTATCCAGAAAGATTCTACCTGTTCAGTTGCCTGAAGGTCTAAGTGACAGATTAGGGCACTGTCAGCCGTTATTTCATGTGGTCAAAGGAATTAATCTTTAATGGTGGGATTCCGGGTGCTGGCTGTCCCAGCTGGGACAGTACTGGGAAGTATGGAACAGTGTTGGCAGGAGTACTGCTTACCCTTTCTTGGCATTCTAGCTCATTCAGTTGGGACTCACGTGGCACTGGGGTCATCAGAGGACCTGGCTAGGGTCAAAGACAGTGCGCATCCCCTTTGGAGCCTCCGCCTCCACCTCTGACTTTCTGTACCTCCCATCTAGATTGAGCAGCTCTATGTCCGGCAGCTGGCAGAAGAGGCTGGGAAGAGCTGTGGAGCCGGCTCCGTGATGCAGACCCCCGAGGAGCCGCCGCCAGACCAGGTCTTCCGGATGTTTCCAGATATTTGTGCCTCACACCAGAGACCGTTTTTCAGAGAAAACCAACAGATCACTGTCTAAGTGTGTCGCTTGGGCGCCCCACCCCGGCTGCGTCCTGCATCCATCTCCCTATTGCAGTGGCCTGCATCATGATTAAAGGATGTGGATCCCCCTGTCTGGGGTGGGATGCCTTACTTTGCACTTAACTTAGTGAGGGCATTCTCGGAGGAGTAGACGTTTAATACAAAGTGGCGGCATAGCCCTGCTGAGATGTCAGTGGTGGCCTGGATGCTGTAACCCCAACGTGTGGCTAAACATTTTATTTTCTACATTTTTCCCTTCATTATCATTAGTTGCTGTGATTCTTTCTGCATTTTTGGTTAACTATCATTTCCAAAGACTTGTCATTCAGTAATATTAGCAGATAGCTGCTTCGAATAAAGGAATTTGGAGTTTAAAAATCAACTCGTGAAAACAAGGTTGTTTTTGTCTTTATCTTTTGTTAGAATTATAGATTTATGATTTCATAGGCTTGATTCTATATGAAATATCTTTTTACTTTTATGCATTTTAATAAGATTTAAAAATTTTTAGATACAAACCCCCCTTTAATGAGTGCAAGAAAAACTCTTGACTTGTTAGAAGAAAGTATATTCTTTCTAGAATTCGGTGCAGGAATATGTCTTCATATCCAGGCAAACGGGTATATTTTTATATTCAGACAATCCTTCTCCTCTGGGGCTTTGTTGCCAGGAAGATTAGAACTAAATTTATTTTTTTTTCATTTCTGTAATGAAATCATCCCAGATATCTCTTGTCTTCTTTCCAAATGTTTTTCACATATGTTTAAAATATTTCTACTTTGAATTGTCGGATTTTCCATGTCCTTCTTTCTCCTTTGTGCCCAGCCTGAGTCAGCACCATCCCACATTCAGAATCTCCCAGTGAAAGGGCAGGAAGGGGCCTCACCTGTCAGCCTTCATTTTGAGAAGGTGGAAGGTGTTGGGGTTTGGGAGACAGCTCATCCGATCTCCCAAGTCTCATGTGACATGGTGGATTTGTGACCGTGAGAGTTTCCGGTTTAAAATATGAAAAACCAGTTTCCTTTTCCCCACGCCATGCCTGTGGAGGTGACAGTCAGACCCAGAGGTCCTTTAGATGTGGATGAGCTCACAGGTGAATCGAGGAGAAGACCAGGGGACGTGCCTTTTCCGTTTTGTCCAACAAAGCATTATATTTTTAAGAATGCCAGACCTGTTTGCTGAAGTGTTCGTAAGATAACAATAGGCTTGAATCTCCAATTCAAATGAATGTCAAAGCACATATCTTTAATATGCTGAATGAATATTTATTTTTGTACCCATTTACAGTATATTGATCTCTTTTATTCTTTGTTAAAATAAAATGCTCTTTTTTAAAACTGCTGTGTACTGTATTTTTTTCCTCACTGTCAAATACGATGCAATTCTCACCAGATTCTGGGTTCTGTAAAGGGGGAGTTACGGCTGCAACGTGCAGGTTTAATTCAGTGCGCTGGACTAAAACAATATTGCACTGGGATTTTAAGGATTTTTTTTTTTTTTTTTTTTTTTGAGACAATGTCTTGTACCTAGGCTGGAGTGCAGCGGTACGATCTCGGCTCACTGCAACTTCCGCTTCCCAGGTTCAAGCGATTCTTTTTTTTTTTTTTTCTTTTGAGACGGTCTCGCTCTGTCACCCAGGCTGGAGTTCAGTGGCCTGATCTCAGCTCACTGCAAGCTCCGCCTCCTGGGTTCATGCCATTCTCCTGCCTCAGCCTCCTGAGTAGCTGGGACTACAGGCGCCTGCCACCGCACCCAGCTAGTTTTTTGTATTTTTTAGTAGAGACGGGGTTTCAATCTCCTGACCTCGTGATCCGCCCGTCTTGGCCTCCCAAAGTGCTGGGATTACAGGCTTGAGCCACCGTGCCCTGCCTCAAGCGATTCTTATGCCTCAGCCTCCCAAGTAGCTGGGATTACAGGCATGTGCTACCACATCTGCCATATATATATATATTTTAGTTAGAGTTGGGATTTCACCATTTTGCCCAGGCTGGTCTTGAACTTCTGGCCTCGTGATCTGCCCCAACCTCTCCCCTGGCCTCCCAAAGTGCTGGGTTTACAGGTGTGAGCCACCTCACCCAACTCCTGTTTTAAGGATCTTTTTTTTCCCCCAACATATCCCTAAAACAACAGCAAAAAGATAGGGAGACTTGGACGGATGGTATGGAATAAAAACATTCTCCAGTGTTTTTATTCTGAATGAGGGCCTGTTTGGGTTTCTGTGAGCTGACGGATGAGTGTGTGGAAGAGTGTGGAGGAGGTGGGGTCTTGTGCTGATTTCACTCTCCTGGAGGCAGCTGGGGGTGATATGTACGAGGCCTCCCTGGTCGGGTCGGCCACACGTGGCTGGGGTGTGTGTCCTATTTAAGCACATCTCGCTGTGCTAGGCCCTGAGGAGACAGCGAGGACATGAGGGACCGAAGCTGGCAGTCACAGAGATGACTTCCAACCTAGTGGGGCATTGCCATCCATCAACACAACAAAACCCATCAATTCGGGGAGATGCGGGGCCGGCCAACCCAGGTGGAGAGACGTTCCCCAGCACGTCTCATCCGCAAGGCCATGTCTGGTCTCTCCTCTGCCCTCATACGAGCCCAGTGAGACTGGGCCTGTTTTTCATTTCTAGCTTACAGATGAGGAAACTGAGGCACAGGCTCATACGTGTCTGACTGAGAGCCATCTATGTCCCAAGAGGACAGCTTAGCCTGAGAGGCTTCATGACCAGATCTTGCTGCCATCCTTGAACTGGGGGGCTTGCTAACACGCCACGCAAAAGGTCAGCAGCTGGGTCCGTCACTCACTGTCTTAGGGGTCTTTGCCATGAGTCACACTCACGTCCGCACACTGCAAGCAGGAATTTTGTTTACAAGCAAGCTCTTCTCCGTCCTGTGGATTCAGGGCCAAATGTGGAAAGTTGATGTTGTCTGTTGTCTCCCCAGAGGTCAACGCTGTCGTGCAGACAGTCGACAAATCCTTCCTAGTCCACTTCTTGTAGCAAGCTCGGGGAGAGGCGGGAGTGGGGAGCGTTTTCATTTGCAGAGGAGGAAATTTGGGGACAGGATGCTTCTGTAAGAACTGTGGTTTCTAGAGAATGCTGTGAGGGCCCTGGATGTGAACTGACTTGAGATGCTGACCCCGCACTGGCCAGTTAGCTCTGGGCCCTGAAGGGAAGCTGGTGGGGACGGGCTGATGGGACATCCTGACAAACAAACCATCTCCACTCTTGGTATTTTAAAAATGTTTTAAGAAGTTAAGATATTTCAACAATTCCTTTCTGAGTGATTGCCACTTAGTTCTTTAACTTTTGCAAAATCCCACTTTGGGAGGCCAAGACGGGTGGGTCACTTGAGGTCAGGAGTTCGAAACCAGCCTGGCCAACATGATGAAGCTCTGTCTCTACTTAAAAAAAAAAAACAAAAAAAAAAACCAAAAATTAGCCAGGCATGGTGGCAGGCACCTGTAATCCCAGCTACTTGGGAGGTTGAGACAAGACTCGCTTGAACCCAGGGGGTGGAGGTTGCAGTGAGCCGAGATCACGCCACTGCATGCCAGCCTGGGTGATAGAGTGAGACTCCGTCTCAAAAAAACATATGCAAAATCCATCTGGGACACAACATTTTTGCTTGCTGTCGTAATGTCCAGAAGCCTAGAAATGATGACCCCTGGGTCCCAGCATCCTCAGGATCCGCTGAGTCCTAGAAATCCTGAGAAAATCCTCCTGAAAGGGCTTCACCGGGCAGCCATCCATGCCTGCCACAGAGACACTTTCTCCCCACAAAGAAGTAACTGTGGGAATCAGGAAGAAATGGCTGCTGTGCGTGATTCAGACTCTCCATAATAGAAAGTTTTGCAATCCAATTACTCAGAAATGCTTAGAAATTCTAAAGAACAATCTATAATTAATGACTGTAATTTTAACAACCCAGTGGGCTGAGAGTGGGGGGTGGCAGTTTCTCAGTGGAAAATCTAGCTGCTTTTACTACACGTAGGAGGAGAATGACAAATGTCCTGGCCCCAGGGCACACCTGATCTCAGGCATTCCCTTCAAGCACACCATTCATTAACCTGTTAAAAGGCCTTGCTCATGGTAAGAAGCCCATTTAAACCAGCATTTCCCAAACTTATTTGACTCGATGTTTTGCCTTGCAGTGTGTCTGTGGATGAGAGGTGCCCACAAGTGTTCATCTTTTATCACAATCCAACTGGAACATCTCAGGAGTTGAGAAGAGCGTGTACATTATTTCTTTCCTATTTTCTCTGGGCTACTTTTCAGTCTGGATGGAGTCTGCCAGGGATGGGGATGGGCTTCAGTCTCCTCTTTTTATGTAACAAACTATTCCTAAACTTAGTGGTACAAAAAGCACTTTATTTTGTGGGTCAAAATTTAGACGGGGTACAGTGGTGTTTGGCTTTGCTCTGCTCTGCAATGTCTGGAATCTTAGCTGGGAACAGCCGAGAGTGACTTGAAGGCCCGCGGATAGAACCGCCTAGAAGCTTTTTCATTCACATGTCTGGTGCTTGCTCTGGAAGGAGGTGAGGCTGGGCACAGTTGGGACACTGTGAGAATGTTGACTTGTGGCTTCTCTATGGAGCCTGGGTTTCCTCACAGTATGGCAGTGTCAGGGCAGTCCCATGGACAAAGGGGAAGCTGAACGGCTGTTTGTGACCCAGCCATCGCTGAACTGGACAAACAAGCCCTCCCAGGTTCAAGAGGAATGGGCAGAAACACCACCTCTTGAGGAAGAAGCGTCCAGGAATTTGCAGCCATGCTTTCAACCTGCCATGGGAGCCCCGAAGCTTCTCCTTTGCTGCCATCCCGCCTGCCTTTTATCCCCCTGGCCTCTCCTTGGGCATCCTGGCTCCTTTCTGCCCCTATTCCTTGGGTCCCAGGCAGATGGGCCTTTTCCGCACTTTGTCTTGGGAGTGTGGCAGTGGACTCTGCCTACTTGAGAATGGAGGCTTTTTCTTGTCCATTTTGATGACCTCTCAGAGCAGGACTCTGACATGTTACTGGGTTCCAAAGACCCCTCCCTGCCAGGGCCAGCATGCAGCACAGGGTGCTTTTGAGTTCCAGTGAACTGGCTTCTCTGGCTGGAGCCTAGGGCGAAGTTTCCCCTTATCCACCCATTCTTCATCCCTCAGGGCACACAGGTCACCTTTCCTCACCTTCTGTCTTCTTGTCCCCACCTCTAAGGCTCAGCCAAAGTTTCTTCATAAGAGCAAGAAAGATAATGAAACAGCCCACCATGGGTTACGGTTTTTGTGGGGCCAGGAATGCCCAGTTTGAACCTCCAGTTCCACCACCTGTAGCCGAGTGAAAGAGGCTGGGTTATTCAGATGCCCCAAGCCTCAGTTTCCCCACTTGTTGTGAGGCTTGAGTGCTCTAACACATCAAGGCATCCCAGAACAGCGCTTGGCAGAGACTCACAGTTTATCAGTGTGAGCTGTCGTTATTGGAAAGTGGGGTGGAGTCGGGTTTGGATTCCCCCAGGAGCAGAGACAGAAACAAAAGGATTCAAGGTAAGCGACCTATGGGAGGTGATCTCAGAAGCGCTGGGAGGGGAAGGGGACCTGCGGCTCTAATGATGACCCTGTGCTACAGGAGGCCTGGGATTTCTGAGGAATGCTGAGGCCCAAGCCCTGCAGAGCCAGGCCCAGGTTGTTAATGACTTGGCACTTTCCTCTTGCCTTGTGTGCAGGGGTGGGCTCAGGCGACCGGAGAAGTCTCAGACATCGTGGCAGGTGCTGGCAGGGGGAGTCACAGCTGCATAAACTGGGTTGGGGTGGGCGGGGTGGGGTGGGTGAGGGGTTGCATTTGCTGCGGAGAGGGTTTGTCAGGACTTTCAAGGAAAACGTGTGTAGTGGCCGGAACCACAAATGATCCAGGGTTTGCGTTCCAGCTCAGGGATCATTAGCTGTGTGTGTTACTTTTTTCTTTTTTTTTTTTGAGACGGAGTCTCGCTCTGTCGCCCAGGCTGGAGTGCAGTGGCCGGATCTCAGCTCACTGCAAGCTCCACCTCCCGGGTTCACGCCATTCTCCTGCCTCAGCCTCCGGAGTAGCTGGGACTACAGGCACCCGCCACCTCGCCCGGCTAGTTTTTTTTGGTATTTTTTAGGAGAGACGGGGTTTCTCCGTGTTAGCCAGGATGGTCTCGATCTCCTGACCTTGTGATCCACCCGTCTCGGCCTCCCAAAGTGCTGGAATTACAGGCGTGAGCCACCACGCCCGGCCAGCTGTGTGTGTTACTTAAACGTTCTGTTCCTCAGTTTCTTTATCTGTAAAAAAGGGGCAATAATGTTACCTCTTGGGAGGATTAAATGACTTAATAAGTATGGGGAG